ATCGCGCAGCCTGCTCCCGCTGCACTGTCCCCTCCGCAGCCGCTCTTCTCCATCCCTCCAGCTGCGCTCTGCATTGGCGATGCCCCCAGGAGACCGGGGCGGGGGGGGGCCGGGGTTGTGTAGCACAGCAGCTGTGCCCCCCTCCCAGGAGACGGCATCCATCAACCGCTGGCACGTTCACCCTTCTCCTGACCTGGGGATGGCCATTCCCCGGCTGGGCGTGAGCCCAGGCAACACCGCTCGTCAGCCGGCAGAGCGGAGCGGGAGGGTGGAGGGAGGCAGGGGGAGGATGAGATGCGGCAGGGAAGCGGGCAGAGGAGCCAGGCGCGGAGGTCTGGCCCGAGGGGCTCTGGATCAGCCTGGGGTACCTTGGCTCCGGCCAGAGACACGGTGGGTGATTTCGAAGTGTGCCATATCAGGCCTGCCTCTATTCCTCTGTGGGCAAATTTATAAATCATGAGTCAAAAAGACATTTGATTCATTTAAATAGAAAGGATGTGATCAGGACTGTGAGACTTCAGAGAAGATCAAAGGTTTAAATACGGTCCCCAGGAGAAACAGGAATTATTTAGGCAAGAAATAATGAGATGAAATTAAGAAGGTATTTAGGCTGCACATGAGGAAGAAGAAAGGAAGCGAAGCGAAGCCTCTCTCCCTGGCACAGCGCTGCACGGGTGGTGGGGGCTTCCCAGGGGGGCCAGAGCACCAGAGCACGCTGCCAGCACCCCCCTGCCCCGGCAGGAGAGGCAGGACGGGAGCCCCTGCCCTGGGCTGGCAGCAGCCACCCACCGCTGCAGGGAGCGGAGCTCACACACCTCCAGCTCCACAGATCCCCCGATAATCGCCAGCATCACCACTATTTCCCTGTGAAACTGCCTCCGTGGGGTAGTTCCTGGGCCTCCAAAGGGAAGGAAACCTCTCATCTTCCTTCGGTAGGGAAAATCCTGCTTGAGAGCCTTTCCATCCCACATCCCTGCCTTTGCAGGAGCTCCACGCAAGCCTCTGAAAGGGGCTGTCCCCACGGAAGACGGGATTCGTGTGAGAGCCAGCCTGAGAAATGACAAAAGGCGGGAGGGGGAAGGGAGAGAAGGGCAGAAAATAGCAAACAAAGTGCCCACGGGTGGTTTAAAAGCCCCGAGGAGTTCATACGTCCAAGGACATCATCTCCCCCACGGAGAATGTCTCACAAAGACCCCCGTCCCCTCCGGCGTGGCGAGCTGGGCTGCTGGCTCGGCACGCTTCACCTCCTCCCGCTCTGCCGGCAGCCTGCCTTTGCAGGATTGCAACCCACAGCATTCACAGCCTGCTCCGTCTCTCACCACCCTCCCTTGTAGCCACGAACAAAGACAGGAGGCTTCGCGGCAGAACGGCCAGACCAGCTGGGTAGGGTTTAACCATCCTGGCCCATATGTGCTGAAATACCCAGACATATTGGGGTTGTGTTTAAAGCAACAGCCTCAGCTTTCGCACAGAAAGTCGTTGCTTTTCCGAAGACAGCTTGAAGTTTTACTTCAGGCCTTTGCAAAAAGCCTGGGTGGATTTTTGGGAAAATCTTAGAAAGGCGGAATATTTAAAGCAAGAGGTATGTAAGTGTCCTGGCCACCTTAAATGGTGACAATAAGTAAGGTTTTCAAAGTATGTAATATTTGAGGAAAATATTTTCTCCATGTTCCTAGCTAAAGTCAAAGTAGGGAGAGTAATCGGAGGAAAGAACTCGTTATTTTATCAGCCCCATGCTGTGCAGAAGCACCTCCACTACACAGTGCCTTACAGCAGCTGAAGCACGGTTTCGATGGGAATCAAGAGCTTGCCTCGGACCTCCAACGGACAACTTCCCTGGACCTCGCTGCGTTCAGAGCCAGAACCCTATTTTGGGTTAGAAAGATGGCTTTCTTGTCAACCCTTGCTCTGATAAAGTTAACATAAAGGCTGCAGCTACACAGGATTAATTCCAGGCATTTGGTAACTGGAGACAAATTTCACTGATGCGAGGGGAACCCATGCTTCCTCCCAACATGTGAATCAGAGCCATTATTTTAATGCACACTGCTTACTTTGAGTAACTCTCACACTACAACGCCTCTGCGTAAGGTGTACTATTTGATACAGAGAAAAAATGAGGCATGAATGATAATGCAATGTCATTTGTCACAGCCTGGGAAACCCCAACACGGGATGAACTGGGAATGAACAGAAAAACACAAAGGCTGTATTTCCAGGCATAGTTAGTAAACACAGCAGTCTAAGAAGGTAATCCGGCTATCTCGGAGGAAAGGCAGCAGCATCCTGGATTGAAAGAGGAGGAGGGGACCAGGGCACCCAGGTTGGGTGCTGTGCCAGGGCAGCCACAGGGCTGCCATCCCCCGGGGCAGGTCCTTGGCTCGGTCCCCTGCCCTGTGGGGGAGCACCCAGCAAAGCCCCGTGAAGCTGTCACTCCTCAGGTGGGGGTCATGTACGCTTAGGGCACCCATGAGAGTCTGGTGACAAAAAGAACCAGCTATTTGAAAAGAGGTTCAATTTAATGAACCAGGGCTATTGTACAACACTTGGGGGACACAGAAAGCAAACAACCATCCTCCTCGACAGAGAGCAGCTACAACCCAGAAGCTTTCTCTCAATTTTAGGACATGCTCTTTCTCTTCCCAGGCAGTGTTTCAGGGGTTAAGGACCAGGGTAGTAACACAGGTTGTGCTAGGGCAGGAGGACAGCCTGCCTAACTCCTCACTGCGCATCACATATAATTCCATCCTTATGTGTTGTTTTTCCATAGATGGTCTCTTTTCAGAGAAGACCAGTGCAGCCTTCTCTGTATTAGTGTACAGTGGGGGAACTGAGGTACAGAGAGGTTGAAGTGGCATCACCCAGCAAGGTAATGACACAAAAAAAATGAACCCCATGGACTCTAGAGTGCTGGGCCAGTGCCCTGCTGTTCCCTTGGCCAGGCAGTCTTCTCCCTGAGGATTAAGTCTCCTTGTTCCCTGAGGTGTGGGTGCCACACTACGTAGCAGCCACCCTGGAATGGCACCTGTTCCTTAAAACACTCAAGAGTGAGAATCATACTGGAGACATATACTTGACCCAAAGGCCTACGAAAGTATATGCACAAGGAACTCAGTCTACTGAGATGACCGATTTCAAGCAACATCTGCAGAGAAACAAGGACGTCCAAGGCTTGGTGTAAGTTTCCTCAAATCAGAAATATCCTGCTAAAAGACAAAACAGGAATTTTCTTCGATTCCTGCAGCTTTCAAGTATCTACTCATATCTTCATTGAATGCAGAAGAGCCACAGATTAATACGAACGGCCTTCTTCGACAGGAATTTACTATTGTCTTCATCAAGTCTTCATTGAGACGACCAGTGTACGTATTTTCCTGATAGCTCCAAGGAAGTTTTTCCAGTGAAGTTTCCTGAAAAGGTAAAAAGTTTGCAGTGTGTCACGTTAAAAAGGACAACTGATTGCTTACAGCCAAATCTCCCTCCTCCCCTCAGAGTACTGCACAGGTCATTTTTCACCCTTGTGACTCCATCTGGGTAGAACTGACCCTTCCCGAGAGCTGCACTCCTCTTCCAAAGCCCGGTTCAAATCTTTCCCTGCCATGGGACATGGCCACTCACTCAGAAGGGACTGAGCAAAACCAGAGCGTAACTATCACTAATAAATGCTGCAGAACCTTCTCCTTTGAGAACCACTTCCCAGCGTGCCTTTTCTATTCCCAAGTCCTAAGTCCCAAGTCTATTCCTCTCTATCGCCTTTCCCATTCCCAAGTCTCTTTCAGTCCCATCTCCCTTGACCAAAACTGAAAGAAGCCAGTCCTGCTCCAAACACAGCTCTGCTCCCATGAGAAATGTTAGATCCCATGGTGTTAGATCCAGCGAGGACTCCCCTGCTGCTACTAATTAGAAGCAGAAGGTGCTCAGATGTGGTGGTAACAGGCAGCAAAGTGAAATACTGAGACAGACAGATAAATAATCCTAAAAGGGAGGATGCACGAGTCAGTGTTGGACCACAACCAACCTGCAAAGAGAAGAGAAGAAAGGGAGAGATGTACACACGCGGCAAGCAGTGTTGACAGGGGTCAGGTAGGTTTCTTGCCCTTCACTGATTGAATTTCAAGACCTCCTCATGCTCTTGAGACAGTACTGTCCCGAAAATGGTATTTAAGCTATGTCACCAGAGACAATTACCGGTTATGCTCCTACAGAGCTGCTGAGGGCGTGCCTAAGCCACAAGTACTTTTCCCTATACCCAATCTCAACTTGCTGAAGCCATATGTGGAACATAATGTATGAGACAGATCCACTATGAGAGATACAAAAAATGATTCATCTGAGAAACCAAAAATGCAATGGGATTCATTCCCTTAGCATAAATAATTCTTTCTATATCCTCCCTGCAATGAATCCTCATTTCTGAGGGAAATAACTTTCAACCACCAAATCCAAGCAGAACACAGGCAACTTTGGGACCAAACGGAAATGAAAGAGACTGTTCAAAATGTAAGACCACTGAGATGCATGCCCTCATCCCATGGATTTGGTAGAAAAAATAATTTTACGGAGGGGGAAACAACATTAAGAAGTCTGAAAATGGGTCAGCTGGGAAAAATAATAGCTGGGAAGTTGGTGCTAACATACTAGAAGAGCACTGTAGCCATGAGCAATGAACAGAGGATAAGGCCAGATTAAGGAACCGGTATTAGGAAAGAAGAAATAGTTTATTTCCTGTGAGGCTCCCAGAGTCAAGTCTTCTTTGCACAAATGTTTAGGTTCAGCAACAACCATCTGAAGGCGGGGGGGGCAGATAAACAACAGTGACTATGAATCAGCATGTCCATCCCAACGGGACAGCTACCAAGGAGGTAAAGAGGGACAAGCAGCAATGGTCTCTTCCCTGAAAATCTCCAGATTGGTAGCAGTGTGAGAATATGTAGCAGATTTATGAATAGCAGCTACTGGATCACAAAATAGCTTTAATGAGTAGAAAAGAATTAAGATCACGCTCATGGAGAAGCAGAGGAGACAGAGGCTCATCCAGCACATAGAACCCTCAGGCAAATGTGCTTCATATCCATTTATTTACCTGGCTTAGGATGTAAAATATTCTGATGTTCCAGTATCCAGCCAGATCCTTCAGAAGAGGTTTCAAATAAATTTTGTCAAAGGTACAGAAGCAGCCAACAAGAGTTACAAAGGTTTCATCCTCTTCATCATCTGTTATGGATTGGAGGATGGGAAGCATTGGTGCGAGGCCGGTACCAGACGCCAGCATGAGGAGTTCTCCATGCTAACAACAAAACAGAGAAATTTGAATGAGCTGTGGTGACTGGAAATGGATGTGCTCATGGTCAGTTCCTCCTTGCTGCCATAAGAGTAAAGGGTCCCTTGAGAGAGAACATATTGGAAGGTCATGAACTGGTAAATTCAAATCTCAGAATGTATTTTTCTGCAAAGGATTACAGATAGCACTTCCAGGGTTTATATATCAAATCTAACAAAACTAGATTTTACCCAAATATAATCATTTATCCTAACTTCAGCCTTGATTTCTATTAATTTATATTTCACTTTCAATTCTGCAGTACACTTTGCTGACCCACTGGGTGTTGTTTTCCCACTGGAATGCTCCCTGTGTTTATCGTGGATGTTGCAAAGTACAATCCTGAATGTTCTCTGAAGGAAGTGGTTTCTTCTCCATCCTGATCCACGCATCTTCCTGGTGTATTACCTCACTTTTCTCGGAGAGCTATCAGCAGCACATAGGGCTTCCCACCTGCAAGGGGAGACTTTCACCCTACTCACGATAGGGATGTTCAGGCGGTAAGGTGCTGTGCATAGGACAGAAGGTTCCCAGTACTTTCCCCAGCTGCCAGCCCGCGCACCAGTGCCAGAAGTGGGACTTAAGCCCCTATTAAGGTCTCAGAGGTTGCTGGTGCTCTGTTTTGACTGGGCAGTTTATTGTGAACGGATCTGACCTGCCCGAATCTGAATTCTATTCTATCAGCAGCAAATAGAGATAAAGAAAATTTTACTATGAAACTAATATTTGAGACCTTTGTAAGAATTCCTAAATAAGAAACAGTTCTTTTCAGCAAGTTGTTCTAAACATTGCTCAGGTGCTTTGCAAACTGCATGTGCACAGATCACCCAGACAGCCCCTGAACGCAGACACTTCTAGGCATGACTGCCACGTTCTGTCCCAAATGATTCTCTGGAAGCTTTTAAGAAGAGAAGGGAATAGTAGCCTAAAACAGCAGGGAGAGCATTTCAGGACGCAGCACACAATTGCTCTGCATGGAGCTTGGCCACTGGGATTTTACAGCCTTATTTTTGCTAGGGAAAATAAAAAAAAGAAGAAGAAGAAGAAAAATATGGCTTTAATATCTTAATGACCAGTGTTTCAATTTTGCTCCTCATTTGAAAGGTCAGAATTAAGTAACCAAATTACTATGTGTGAGAAGCCTTCCTCTGAAACTGGATCTGCCTTTCTTTGCAGCGAGCCTGGTATCAGCAGGTGGGATCAACATTTGCAGAGTGGCTGGGTGACATGACACCTCACTGGGGCTGCTACGGTTCAGGGAATACCCAAGAGAGAAAAAGATCAACACCTCTCCTTCGCCCGTGCTCAGCCACAAAACAGCAATGCGGTTCAAACAAGGCAAAACCCGATCCACACTCATTGCTGGTGCAAAGTTCCCTTTCTTAAACACATCAGGAACTTCTAAGGCAAGTGATGCACAGAGCGCCTTGCTAATATTTTCCAGTCTCCTGTCCACCTCCCTCTCCTCTTCCTTCTTAAATATTCTGCAGTTCAATAAGGTGTACTTTCTCCAATTGACTGCTAATGCTGTAGCACTGTACAGTAACCCAGCAAGTCCCTAAAATAATAATGAAAACAGTAATCAAATTGATGTCTTCCCTTTGGAGTATTAAACAAAGCTAGCTGCCACAAGCTGAAACATCCTACGTCTCTTAGGGAACTAACCTTATTAGGTTGATATGGGAACCCTCCAAACGGCCCACGCCAAAAGACCATGTCTCCTTTTTTCCACGTTTTTATGTATTGTGACATTAGCCCAGTTTCATAGCACTAATAAAAAACATTGCACAAAAGAAAAGAATAATTATACTCTGTTGGAAAGTTTCCCAGTTTAAAGTAAATTATAAAGTTATCTACATTTAAACAAGAAGGGGACAAAAAAACATTTCATGCATTTAAAAAGAAAGAAAGATCAGTCTATTTGAAAAATAACTCAAAGTTATACCCAAAACAAAGACATTTAAATTAAATCATATTGGATCCATTCCAGCTTGACTACAATGTAAACACAACCTACTCTCATGCAGTCTGAATTTCCAAAACTGGAAAACGCTTATCAGAGTTCTTGCTTACAAAGCACACAGAGAAGAGTGTCTTGAATGCAAAGCACAGTTCAAGTGTTCTCCAAATCTCCGGGCATGGGGTCTGGAAATGCCCTCTGGGTACTGTTAGTTATATAAACACTGCATAGCTCTTGCTTTATTTCAGTCTCTCAGAGGCTGTGTTCATACAATTAGTGACCTAAAGTCAGGTTTCTCATTTATAAAATGCTTGTTTTCAGAACAGATCATCTGGATGCTGTGGGATGCCTTCACATTTTCAAAAAAATATGTTAATTTGGGCCTCACGGAAGAAAAATATTAGCAAACTCTGCCTTACTTTCTATCAGGCACAAACAATATTATCTAGGCTCTTGCCTG